AAAATCAGAAACGAAAGAGGAGAAGTAATAACTGACACCACAAAAATACAAAGGATCATTGAAACACATTATGTACAATTATATGCCAACAAATTGGACAATCTAGGTGAAATAGACAAATTTCTAGAAACACACAGTCTCCCAAAACTGAACCGGAAAGAGATAGAAAACTTGAACAGACCAATAACAACAAAGGAAATTGAAGATGTAATTAAGAAACTTCCAGAAAACAAAAGCCCAGGCCCCGATGGCTTCACGGGGGAGTTTTACTGAACATTCAAAGAAGATCTTATACCCATTCTTCTCAAACTATTACAGAAAATCCAAGAAGACGGGAAACTTCCAATCTCATTTTATGAGGCCAGCATAATCCTAATTCCAAAACTGGATAAAGACACAACAAAGAAAGAAAACTAAAGGCCAATATCCCTGATGAACACAGATGCCAAAATCCTTAAAAATATATTAGCAAATCAGATCCAGCAATACATCAAAAAAATTACTCACCATAACCAAGTGGAATTTATCCCAGGGGTGCAAGGATGGTACAATTTTCAAAAATCAATAAATGTGATACATTACATAAACAAAATGAAAGATAAAAACCATATGATCATCAATAGATGCTGAAAAAGCATTTCACAAAATCCAGCATCCATTCCTGATAAAAACGTTCAGCAATGTGGGAATAGAGGATCATATCTCAACATAATAAAGGCCATATATGAAAAACCTACAGCCAACATCATACTCAATAGACAAAAACTAAAAACATTTCCCTTAAGAATGGGAACAAAAGAGGAATGTTCACTTTCACCACTCTTATTTAACATAGTACTGGAAGTCTTAGCCACAGCAATCAGACATGAAGAAAAAATAAAAGGGATCCAAATTGGAAAGGAGGAAGTGAAACTGTCATTATTTGCCAATGACATGATATTATACATAGAAAACCCTAAAGACTGTATCAAAAATCTACTAGACTTAATAAATGAATTTGGCAAAGTAGGATACAAAATTAAAGTCAAGAAATCGACGGCATTCTTATACACCAACAATAAACTCACAGAAACTAAAAAAAAAAAAAAAAAATCCCATTTACTATTGCGGCAATAAAAATTAAGATACTTAGAAATAAACTTAACCAAAAAAGTAAAGGATTTCTTCACAGAAAACTACAGGTCATTGAAAAAAGAAATAGAGGAAGATATAAAAAAGTGGAAGCACACACCTTGTTCATTGATTGGAAGAATTAACATCATTAAAATGTCCCTACTACCCAAAGCTATATATAGATTCAATGCAATCCCCATCAAAATACCAACAATATACTTCACAGAACTAGAACAAATACTCCAAAAGTTTATATGGAACTAAAAAAGGCCCCAAACAGCTACAGCAATCTTGAAAAAGAAGAACAACGTAGGAGGAATCACATTACCAGACATCAGGTTATACTACAAAGCCACTGTAATCAAAACAGCCTGGTACTGGCACAAGAATAGGCTCATAGATCAATGGGATAGAACAGAGAACCCAGAAATTGACCCAAGGCAATATGCTCAATTAATATTTGACAAAGGTGGCAAGAGCATACAGTGGAGTCAAGACAACGTCTTCAATAAATGGTATTGGGAAAATTGGACAGCTACATGCAAAAAAAAAAAAAAAAAAATGAAGCTAGACCACCAACTTACACCATACACAAGAATAAACTCAAAATAGATAAAAGACTTAAATGTGACTCATGATTTCCATAAAAATTCTAAAAGAAAATGCAGGCAACAAAATTTCAGACATTATATGCTGCAGTTTTCACTGATACATCACCTAAAGCAAGAGAAACAAAGGAAAAAAGGAACACATGGGACTACATCAAACTCAAAAGCTTCTGCACAGCAAAAGATACAATCATCAAAATGGAAAGGCAACCCACTGTATGGGACAGCATAATTGCCAATGATACATCAGATAGGGAGTTAATCTCCAAAATATATAGAGTACTCACACAACTCAATGAAAGGAAGACAAAGAACCCAATTAAAAATGGTCAGAGGACCTAAAGAGACACCTCTCCAACAGGACATACAAATGGCCAAGGGCTATATGAAAAAATCCTCAATGTCACTAATCATCAGAGAGATGCAAATTAAAACAACAATGAGGTATCACTTCACACCTGTCAGAATGGGCACTATCCACAAATCATCAAACAAGTGCTGGCAAGGATGTGGAGAAAAAGGGACCTGGTGGGAATGCAGACTGGTGCAGCCACTATGGAAAACACTATGATGTTACCTCAAAAAATTAAAAACTGAACTGCCATTTGACCCAGTGATCCCACTTCTAGGAATATACCCAAAGAAACCTGAAACACCAATCAGAAAGAATATATGTACCCCTATGTTCATAGCAGCACTATTTACAATAGATAAGATCTGTAAACAGCCCAAGTGTCCATCAGTAGACGAGTGGATAAAAAAGCAGTGGTACATATACACAATGGAGTACTATGCAGCCGTAAGAAAGAAAGATCTCTTATCCTTTGAGACAATATAGAGGGACCCGGAAAGTATTATCCTAAGCAAAACAAGCCAAGCAGAGAAAGACAATATCACATGATCTCACTTATTTCTGGAATATAATGAACTAAACAAGCTGATGAACAAAATAGACCCAGAGTCATAGAAGTAGTATACAGACTGACAATCCTCAGAAGGGAGTAGGGAGGGAAGGGATAAACCACAGAAGTTATATGCATTTATGCATAACCAATGGACATAGACAACAAAGCTGGGGATGGGGTGGGGAGGGATGGGGAGGAGGTTGTCAATGGGGGGGAAAGGAGAAACATCTGTAAAAAAAAATACTTAAAAAAAAAAAACTACTTGTGAATCTTAAATACATCTTTTACCTCCTAGGCCACAGAATCTTCATTTGTAAAATTAAGTTTGGATTTGACACTAAAACCTCCTCCATCTCTAAAATTATATAAACCAAGTAGGGAAATTCTGTAACAGAGGCAGTAGAATTTCCTTTCTGATGAACAGTTGGATATGGAAGAATTCTTAGACATCTTTAAATCCAAGGTGATTTGCATGATAAGAATAATGTGTGGACTGAAGAGAAAAATAAGCAAGCATGAGTACTCTGTCATGCAGGCTCCTAATTATTTTTTTGCTCAGAGAAGCTGGGTGTTGTAAAGATTGGGAAAACAAGGGTTCACTTTGCTCTTTTCTTACTGAGTGCTGGAGGTTATGACAAGCAATCTTTCATTGCAACACTAGATGACAACGGAAATAAGATAGTGTCTATTTTTTTTTTTTATCAAATACAATATTTGCCATCTCTTGTTAGGGAATATGATGTAATTAAACTACCAATCTTACCCTCTGTGTTTCTCTTTCACTCACAATTTATTCAAACAAAATATTGGCTGATACCTTGGAATCTCTTAGGCAATACTTGAAGTTGGAAATGTTTGCTTTATTCTGTCCTGTGTCCAACTTTCAGTGTAACAACAACAACAAAATGAAATAGAAAGGTTTTCCTTGATTGCAAATTCATATGGGAGGTTTTAAATTTTTTGCAGACAAATTGCTTTAGGTACATCAACTTCCTAATTTGTGTGCAGCTAATTTGATTGCCTGATTAAAGGAAATGGCCATTGTTCCAAGACAGCAATGGCTGGATGGGGTCTTCTGGTGGCTGGAAAGGCCCCTGGTGTGTAATCTTACACCTCTGATTTGCTGTGATTAGTGGTATGTAAAGCCAAGTGAAAGGCATGAGCCTTCTCAAAGCACCTGCACTGGTGAGGACAGTCTTCCCACAGTCTCTGGGATTCTGAAAAGCTCTGCAGAGTCCAGATACAGAGTCTTACACATAATTAATTAGCATCAGGAGAGCTGCCCTGGTGCAGGGATGCCAGACTGCACCAGCATTTAAACCCCATTTACACTGGGATGGGAATAGGCTAGCCACCCAACCACTAGGGGTCCCAATTGTTTTGAGGATGTCACTACGGTCTCTGTACCCTTGCCAGTCTTCGTTAAACCATTCTTCAGTCAATTTAAAATGTTGAAAATATTAAGCCAACAAGTCTTCTTTTTTTTTCTCTTCCTTTATTGATTTTTCAGAGAGAGAGAGTGAGAGGGAGAGAGAGATAGAAATATCAATGAGAGAGAACATTGATTGGCCGCCTCCTGTATGCCCCCCCCCCTGCCCTGGGGATCTGGCCCACAACATGGGCATGTGTCCTGACCAAGAATTGAACTGGTGACCTCTTGGTGCATGGATTGACGCCCAACCACTGAGCCACACTGGCGGGACTAGCCAACAAGTCTTAAAAGTCTGTTCTATTTATACTTTTACCAGTAATGCTTCTATGGTATGAAATGCCCCATTATCCTACCTTTGGTTTAAGCCTACAATATACCATCTAGATGAGAGGGTAGCATATCTCTAAATAAGGAATCAGTGGGTCCAATTTTTAACTTATCCCATATTTTTACCCTAATATCTAATGTCCCCAAATAAAAGTCAAGGGAGTACAAAATATTACCTAAGGCAAAGCTAAAATTGCATGTTTTAAATTTTTATGTCGGGAAATGCAAAATTAATACTCTCCTTGCAATATTGCTCATTAATACTGTACTTAGATGAAGCTATAGTTTTAATGGCCTAATTCAAAAGAGTGGAAAATTTTATTTTACTCAATTTAAATCATTTAGATGTATGAGCTTTTTTATTTCCACTGGCACTTTTTCACATTAAGTGTAATAGGGAAGAAGTCGATCTCAAAATCTCTCATAGAACATAAACTCTTGATGGACTGAAACAAAGTTGAGCCTCTGAATACTTATGTTTTAATGAACTGGATGGCTCCGGAGAGCAGGCTGTCTGCAACTTGCAGACTGGGACACTCAGAGGGATGTCCACATGATCAGCTCAGAGGAAATGTACAAAGCGACTTGGAGGTATTATTTGTTAGTATGGCTTACCTATTCAGAACATGGGCCACAACTTGTAAGAGTGACAAGATTTCAGGAGCACGGACGTGGTGATGATAATCCAGAAGTGTCATTAAGCCTGACAAAGGAATAGACAGGGAATTAATGGGACAAGGCTCTGCAAGCAACAGGCCCAGCTTCCAGTGAAAAGGTGATCCATAACCTCCACAGCACAGCGAGGCCCTCTGTGGCGTAGGGAGCCTGGAATCTCCCTCCAGCCCTGCCACCATCTGTCCTTAGTTCTCTCATCTATGATATGAGGACAGTGAGCTGGAGGGACTCCAAATTCCCTGCTAGTTCTGGTATTCTGTTCCATGGTAAAATAACTCCAGGGAAATCTAGTTTCAGTCACTGTTATAGCAATGCATAAGAAATAGTCATTCATTCATTAAACATCTTCCATATGAATAGTTATATGCAAGTAACAGAACCATTCACAGCATTTTTCTTTATTGCAGTGGATGTATGGTACAAAAGCAAGCGTTCAGGATGCCTCCCAAAACAAGGTGCTTCACTGTTCTTAGTATTGTTTATGAATACTATTGTCTTCTGTAATACTTACTTTAAGCCCAAATGAAACAGGCGTAAATAACTAAAAATACTCAGAATTTTTAGATAGTTCAGAAGGAAGGTGTCAATACAATTCTTCTGTCCCTTTATTCTTTTCAGCACTGAGTAATATCCTATTGTCTGGATGTATCACAGTTTATTTATCTACTTATCTACTGAAGGACATCTTGCTGCTTCCAAGTTTTTGGCAATTATGAATAAAGCTGCTGTAAAAATTCACGTGCAGGTTTTGTATGGACATACATTTTTAATTTATTTGGGAGAATACCAAGGAATGTGACTGCTGAGTTGTTTGATAAGAGTATGTTTAGTTTAGTAAGAAAACACTAAACTTTTTTTCAAAGTGGCTATACCATTTTTGCATTCCCACCAGTAATGAAGGAGTTTCTGTTGCTCCACATCCTGTCAGCATTTGATGCAATAGGTATTTTGGATTTGGGCCATTCTAATAGGTGTGTAATGATATCTCATTATTGTTTCTGTCCCTTCATTTTACTCAGTGCATGTATACTAAATGGAGCCAGTGCCCAAGAGTAAGAGAAGAAGATATTTTTATTTTTCTGTAACAATTTCTCTTTCCAGCATATCAGCATATAGCCATTTTTGGCTCAACATCCTCTTTTACAGACTTCAACAATGACTCTGCAATGAGAAAGAAGAATGCTGAGACCAAGTTAACTGCAGGAATGGGGGTAGATATATAGGAGACTTGTAGGGTAGATAGATAGGCTGGACCATAAGACATGTACCCATCAGCATAGAAATATTGCATAAAGGAAAGTGTGGGATTTTGATTCCGGATGTGGTTCATTTTTGAAGAGTTGGACAAAAGCAAGACTGCCTAAGTTCAAATGTCACCACTAGCACTCCACCATTAATAGCTATGTGACCTTGGGCAAGTGACTTAACCGCTCTGTGTCTCAGTTCCAGACTTGTATATCTAGCCTCCCCCTCAACAACTTTACTTACACATCAAAGTTAACATGTTCAAAAACAAACTCTTCATTTCCACCCCCACAACTGTGGTCTTCCCACAGTTTTCCACAACTCAATAAAAGGAAACTTCTTTCTATCAGAAGCATCTTCAAGTCATCTTTGACTCTTTCTCTCATATCCTGCATTCAGTATGTCAGCAAAGTCCCCTTGGCTCAACCTTAAAAATACATCCTCAAACTGACTACTCTCACCACCTCTACCCTAGTCTATCATCATTTCTCATCTGGACTATTAAAATAACCTTCAATACGGTCTCTTCTTTCCCACCTCTGTCCCCTAACAGTCACTTCTCCTCAGAGCACCTAGAATATTCTTTTTAAGCCCATGCCATAATATACCATCTTCTGCGCAAATAGCTTCAATGATTTTCCATCTCAGCATAAAATTTAAAATCCTCACCACCACCTACAAGAGCCTCCCAGGTAAGTCCCTACTATTTCTTTAACCTCAAATCCTACCATTCTCCCTATTATTCACTCTTCTCCAGCCACGCTGAACAACTTGCAATTCCTAGAACAAGCTAAGAAAGCTCTTTACTGTGCCTTGAACTTTCTAAGGGTATCTCTCGACCCTCATTCAAAGTTCTATTCAGATGTCACCTTATTAGAGAGACTTCCCCAACTCTACTCTATAAAACATCACCCCTACCTTCAGCACTCCCCATCTTCTCTCCTCGTATCCCCTATCATTCCATCTGATGTGTACATGGTTATTCACTAACTGTCTAGATCTCCTTGTTGAACAGTAATGAAAGCAGGAACTTTACCTCATTCATTCACTGTCCTCCCAATTCTAGAACAGTAGGTGCTCAATAGATGTTTGTTTAATGATTGAATGAATATGAAATATTGAGATAATTATGATCAAAATACAAAATATTAGTACCTATCACATAAGGTTGTATGCATTTTAAATAAGATAATAGATTATGTAAAATTCTTAGAACATACGTTCAATAAACATTAATTATTAATGTTAATATTTTTAAATTTTTCTTTATTGATTTTAGAAAGAGAGGAAGGGAGAGGGAGAGAGATAGAAACAGCTATGAGAGAGAATATTGATTGGCCGCCTCCTGCATGCCCCCCACTGGAGATCAGGCGCACAACTTGGGCACGTGCTCTGACCGGGAAACAAACCAGCAACCTCTTGGTGCATGGGTCCATGCTCAACCACTAAGCCACACTGGTCAGGCTTAATGTTAATATTAATCAAACTTGCTTTGATATCCAAGAGGTTGATCTAGAGTGAGGATAAATCATAAGGTATTAGGAACATTAAAGGCTATTGGGTTACAACACATTAGCTTAAGAATAACTCATCAAAGATAAAGCAGGACTCAGCAGTAGGTGGCTTGAGGGTCTGGGATTGCATCCAAACTGAGAGAGAAATTGACCTATTAAAATGAGGTTGGTGGTCAGAGCCCCAGGAAAGCTAGGGACTATGGTTTAAGAGTAAGCTCCAGTTCCATTGATATTAAAGAAAGTAATGAGGTAAAAAGTATTGTTATGCATGCTAGAGGGCATTTGGATATTTTCTGCTAAGTACCCCTCCCAATTTCTGCCGGAGAAAGGGCAAGAGCTGCACAGAAAGATTCTCTCCAGAGCATTGGGCAAGGCAGCTGACACGCCAGGTCTCCAGTGCATCACGTCTAGAGGTACAGCACAGAGGAAGAGAAGGTGAGAAGAAAAGCAGAGTGTAGCCAACAGAAAGAGCTCTTGGAAGAAGAGTCAAAAGTTCCTTTTTTAGAGGAAAAATTCAGGGACTTGAAAGGGCAGTGATGGGCAGGTATATTAGTTTGCTAGGCTGCATTAAAAACTACCACAAATTGGGTGATTTAAACAACAGAAATTTATTATCTCAGAGTTCTGGATCCTAGAAATCTGAGATCAAGGTGTCAAGGTGTTTATTCCTTCTTGATTACCTCTATAAGGACCCTCTCCCTAAATAAGGCCACCTTCGGAGTACTGAGGGTTAGGAATTCAACATATGAGTTGGGGGGTGAAGGGGACAAGATTCAACCAAAAACAGCAAGCAAGAGCTGGCCACCATACATATATACATAAATGGAAAAGACCATGTTTATAGAAGAACATGGAACCTCCAAAGTACATCGGTCAGTGGCTGAAGGGAGAATGTAAACTAATGTTAAACTTTTCACAAGAGAAATTGTTTAAAGATGTAGAGATGAAAGTTTGAATAGAGAAGAGGACAAGAGATGAAGCATGGTTGTCCGTGGTTGCTGTTTTCCTAAATGGCAATTGTAGACACACCAAGTTGGGTAACCCAGGAGTGAGGGAAAGACTCAACTTGAATGCAGTGAGGACGCTCTACTACGTGGGGCTTTCAAGCTTTTGGGCCTGATTTGAATCCTGGTTCAAACTTACAAACACTTCACCTTTGATGACATAATGTAACCTCCTTGGCCTTACCTTTCTTAACTGAAAAATGAGTATGGTGGTATCAATCTCATTAGGCTGTGGGGAAAATTCAATGGGAGAACACAAGTAAAGTTCCTTTCACTGTTCCTAACACAAAGTGAGTGCTCCATCAGACTGCACTAGAATTTATGGGGAAGTTATCCCAGGAGTATATCTAATGTAGGATCTTTCCCAGAGATAAATAAAAGAAAGTAATTTTCCATCCATTTTGAGTAATAATACTTGTATAATAAGAGACAGTGATTCTCAGTGTATCTAAGTGAAGTTATCCAAAGCAAGAATATTTATTTTAAGGAAATAGGACACCTGGAGAGACAGACATTTATTCCAGTTATGTTTTCAAAACAGCTTGTCTTACTTCTGCAAATTCATTTTGATAAGACTCTCTCTTCTTCAGAGAGATTATCTTCATATTCTCACTTAACTGAAATCTGCATTCTCCTTTCTTTTAAAAAAATTATTTGTGCTATTTCTGAAAATGAGAAGTCCTATTTTATATGAAAAAAAAAAACCCACATCTCTTAATTCTGTGTTAAAAACAAACTGTTACCTTTTATAACAATAGTAAAAGAAATAAGGATCTACTTTTTTTCCCTCTTCTGAAAATATGGCAACCCTCTCCCCACCTTTGAATTTTTAATTTTCTTTCTATCTGTGGCAAGCAGGGATTCCCCTGAGTTGCTGTTCTCTTAATGTGTGTAAAATTTAGAAAGCGATTTGAAAATCTTCTTTACTATGAAAAGCAAACAAAACTATTACACATATGGATTAACTAATGAGAAGATGGATGATGTATTTTGGTATCTAATCATATTTTATTTTTTAAGAGTGAAGCATTCCAAGTGACTCAGTCTTGCCTTCGTTTAAATAGAAAATAAAAGAAATAATCACTAGATGAAACATCTAGTGATGATTCATCCCAGAATCATGTGACCATTCAAACCCAGATTTCCAGGTGGTTTGGGCCTCAAGCTTCTTGGTTAAGCCTTCAGGACTGTGCGAAACTCTTGGGGCCTGTGTTCCAGAAGTA